GGGCTGGACCGACCTCACGTGGGCTGGACCGACCTCGTAGCTGAGGAGGGACAGCCAGGTCCATGACCATGGCTGCCCACTGGAGCTCGCCGAAGCCTCCCTCCGGCCGTGGGCCTCTGGGCAGCAGTGGTGAGCGAGCCCAGGTGTGCCATGAGTGGGGCCTCAGTCCTTCAATGGGGGTCCGGGAAGCCGGGGTTCTGCGGGGGTCGGGCATCCCTGACTGCGGCCTTTTTTAAAGTCACTTTTCCAAATCCCGGGGCGAGGGGAATGGGAAAAAATCACTTCTCTTTGGCTGGCAGAGGAATATTCCAGAGCCCGCCCCCTGGACGCCGAGTCCAGGCTCCCGGCCGGCCGCCAGGTCCCCGCTGCCCACATGTCTTTGTTATTAGAGGAAGCAGGGATAGCACCATGGCCAGGAAGTCTTTGCTAAGAAACTCGCGTTTGAGCAGCGTCTTGAGAGTGAAAAAAACAAAGCAGCTTCCAACGCAGGCTCCTGCTCCTGTCTCACGGACACTCGGCGTGCCCTCTCCAGAAGGAGCCCTTCGGAAAGTTGGCAGAGCCTTCCTTTCCTGGCACCCGGGTCGGCTTTTCCTTCCCCCCTTCTCCCAGGGCCGCGAGAGGGCGGAGCCCACGTCCCTGAAATTGCAGGTTTCCAAAATAGGCTTCGCTGTGGTTCCTGCGCTGTTAGAAGCGAATCTCTCATCAAAAAGAAGCCAAATCCAAACATGCTAAAAATAGAATTTCCGCTCCGTTTTGCAAATTTAGGCTTCTGATAGGGGAAGGTTATCATGTTTTATAAAAGTGACCGATCCCGAGTGACCGAAGTTCCTGCTCTCTCGGTCAGTGTCCTGCAGCGGGGGCCGAGCTTTGTGCTGAGGAGCCCAGCAGATGCCCCCTGGGGGTCTGGCTTGCAGAAGGCAGCCCCGTCCTGGCCGTGGCGTCTCTGTCCCAGGACGGGACCATGTCCAGCTACTGGGCCCGGCGCTGTTGCGACCCCTGCTGGCCGTCCCGAGGTGCTCTGGCTGGGCAGGGCCAGGGGAGGTGGGCACTGCCCAGCAAGGCCGGCAGGCCCACTGCTTGGCTGTGCCCTATGGATTCACTCAAAGGTGTTCGCTGTTCTTCTTCCTCCCCAAAGTGACAGGGACAGACTTGAGCCTTACCGCCTTGGTTTCCTGGTGTAGGAGAGAGCAGGGCCGTGGCAGCTGTGGGCAGTCCCCGGCACCCCTAGGATATTACAGGGCAGGGAGAGGGCCACCCCAGCGCCCCCAAAACTGCCCGCTCTAAGTAGGTTCTGCAACCCACTGCCTCAAGACAAAACATACTGCAGTGATAAGACCTTTAAAGGAAAGGAATTTTAATACGGTTAGTGTGAGATACAGAAAGAGAAGGGGAGGAACAGAGAATAAAGCTTCCAAATCCCGGCACCCCGTGGGTCAGCGCCCAGCCCAGCCGGTCAGCCCACAGCAGGCCTGTGAGGCCCGAGAGCCGGCCACACGGCTCCCGGTGGGGCCGGACAGGGCCCGACAGGCCTCAGAGAGGGCCGGACAGTTCCGGAGGGAAAC